AATAATAAAAGAGTTTCAAATGAATGTCCAAGAGTAAAGAGCAGTTAATTTCAAGCATTAGGCATATTACATTTTCTACATCTGAATGCATTTTTGCAAATTTTACTTTAATATTTTAGGGAGTCATTCTTAAACCGTCAACCATTGAAAAGAGATAATACAAAAATTTCAATTTTCCCAATCTGTCACAGTGATTTCTCCCCTTAAATTCCAGCCCTTTTCATTTCTCCAAATTACAGATGAAAAAATAATTTAGATATTTACAAAAAAATGATAACAGATTTAAAATATTTCATCAAATTTAAACATTAGACATACACAGTATTATTAAAAGGTAATATTAATACTACTGTGACACTCTTACTCGCTTATAATATTAACAGAGATACTTTGATTATTAATTTATTAAGACATAAAGTTAATAAAGTTCCAGTATATCATAAACATTTTAAAGAGCATACAACTTTCTAAAATATTTTAATAGTGATAGAAGTAATTTAAGTAATCTGAACGTTATAGCTGCAACTATATCTTTAGTTAAGGAATCAGAGATTCAATTTACGAGTAGTCCAACTAATAATATTAAGTTCTATGTTAAGACATTTGTTAATAAATATAAACATAATGTTGACGATTTACTCAGATTTGTTAAAGTAAGTAGGCCAAATGGGAAAAATATTAAGATATTTAAGAATACGAAGATACTGGTAAAAATATTCTTTTTATCTTTATATATGTCTGTCTTTATATCTTGTGTATTGGATAATATACATTTAGATTCTTTAACTGACGACTTACAAATAAACTGAAGTATTTTATAGAACTTGTCAAAAACGTTTTTCATTTTTCTATAAATTTGTTTTATGAAACAACCAATTAAATTAAGTTGCATGCATACATAAGAGATAAACCGGGTATAAAGACTTTTGAAGCATGAGAGATGAAACTTACAGAGATCTTTATAGAATATTTTTTAACAAAATGTTGACTTAAATGTTAAGACTTACCTTTTGTAAAAGCCGGCGATATCGACTGTGTAAATCGTCTTATATTCGTGTCCAGTGAAGTCGAACACGTGCTCCATTTAGGTTATGTACGTTCCTCGCGTGCCACTTTCTCAATGAATCTTATTACCTCAAAATTTTCGACCAGCATCGCATCCTCGTCGCCAAATTGTAGTGTCCTTGAATTCGAGAGACTGGTTAAGTGCAAATCTTTGTTGATCGTCGACCCTCAACTTTATTAACAACTCGTGAATGCAGGACAATCTTTGTGTATCTAACTATACGCTCCCACTCCTACTTCGTTGTCAATAAATAATTACAACTCACCATTTATTTCTTTGGTTTGATATTACACTGGGTTTTTCACACACATCTGCACTCCAGGAGTCTAATCGAGGACCTGTCGGGATTCCCCGAAGAACAATCTTTCATCGCGAAGAAAGCGGAAGGACGCGGACACGATCCCGCCGTGCTGTACTGCGCGCACAACCTTAAGGCTGGTTTACGCGCGCTAGATAGCCCTGTAGGGAGCATAAAGTAACTCCCTAGTTACTCCCGCAGATGGCGCAGTTGGTCATACAGAAGTTCGTTGGTTATCAAAGGGTGCCTGTTTAGATAGGTTTTATAAGCTGTTCAACTCGGTGCTGGAGTTCTTGAAAAATAAAAATGATGCTTTACGATCCAATTTAATTCAATCAAAAAGTGACATCGCTTACTTGACCGACTTGTTTCAAAAATTTAATGAAAGCAATCTTCAGCTTCAAGGTGATGAACTGAATTTAATAAAAACAAAATCTGTTATTTTTGCATTTGTAACAAAGCTTCTTCTGTACAAACAAAATTTTTGACGAGGGGAATTCAGCCAGTTTCCAAATTTATCAGGAGCAGAAAAAAAAGATGAAAACATACTTTCTTATTGTGAGCACTTGGATGCTCTCCATTCAGATTTTAATCAACGATTTGATGATATTTTGAAAATGGACATACCTGATTGGATTTTGGATCCTTTTTCAAGTGCAAACACAGAAGAATCTCCACAGTTACAAGAAGAACTGATGGAAGTAACTACAAATGATGAATTGAAATTTACATTCAAAAGCGGCTACCAACAATTCTGGTTGCAAAAGGAGATCCCTACGGCTTATCCTGAAATATGGGCTGCAATTCAAAAGTTCTTAATTGCATTTCCTTCAACATATTTAGTGGAACGTGGATTCAGTGCGGTAACCAATTTATTAACAAAAAAAAGAAACCGATTGCAAATAGTCAATCGCGGTGATTTAAGATTACTGCTGACGAAAATAGAGCCGAGGATTACTAAATTGGTAGCAGGAAACCAGGTTCATCCTTCTCATTAAGATGATTTCGAATGTTTTAACTTTTTTTGTATTATCATTCTATTCTGAGTTCAATAAATAGTTTCATAATTTCAAACTTCAATGTTTCTAATTTACACCTTTCTTTACTATATTTTACGAAAAAGGTAGAAACAGTAATACATACATCTTTCTGTTTTTAAATTTAAAAAAAATTAATTTCCAGTGGGCGCTGAGTAATATTTTTTCTGAAAAGGGGGCGGTAGGCCAAATAAGTTTGGGAACCACTGATATAGAAAAAGACATTTTTGTCCCATACAACGCACGTGTTTATTGTACACATGGAGAAAAAGATAGTTTTTTAATTCCAGAGGATTTCACTACATATGATACAAGGGTAACGTTATCTGTCGAGGAAGTTCTTGCAATTATTAAGACTTTTAAAAATCTAGTGTTAGAAGAAAGGAATAAAAAGATGGAAACAAGAGTGAGTTTTACAAAAATGGCAGAGGAACAGCTACTATATGAGACAGGATTAAATCATTCATAGTTTTCTGACATTCTAAATGCTGTTCAAGATGTATTACGAAACAGTGAATTTGCAGTTGGAATATATCTATCGCGGTTACATCACGGTTACACATTTGAAGAAATAGCAAAACGTTATTTTATTACACGACAAACAGCAAGTAATTACTGTGAAACTGTAAGACAGCATTTATTGGAAAGATATTGCAGCATCCATTTGTTAGCATTTAATGACCGAAATAAATTAATTACACATCAAACGGATTGTGCTAAACAACTCCATGCACCAACAAATAATCAAGTGATATTAGTACTCGATGGCACCTACCTGTTTATTCAAAAAAGTTCTAACTTTATATTCCAACGTTTATCGTATTCTGGGTACAAACATAGGAATTTAATTAAACCTATGATGGCAGTTTGTACAGATGGCTACATAGCAAATGTTTGGGGACCATATCCAGGATCAAAAAATGATGCAACAATATTAAATGAGCTGTTGTCAGATTCCAATACGTGGAGTCAATTTAAACCGGGTGATGTTTTCCTTGTGGATCGTGGTTTTCGAGATTCTATAGAAGAAATAACCAGAAGAGGATACATTGCCAAAATGCCATCCTTTGCAGATGCACCACGGAAACCACTAACAGTTGAACAAGCAAATCAGTCACGACTCATTACGAAAAATCGTTACATCGTAGAAGTAATTAATGGACGTATAAAAAGTCGTTTTAAGTATTTTGATAGAAGCATCCAAAACACAACGTTACCTACTTTATTCCACGACTTCAAAATAGCTTGTGCCATTTTAAATGCAACATTTACATCACCATCTACATCTGCCCTTGATCATTTAATTACAAATAGAATTTTGCAATATTCGAATAGAATTAATCATTTATCACAACTGATTCAAGCGGAAAATATGAATACAAAGCGAGCACAATTCCAACGTATGGAAGTTACAGAATTAGAGTTTTTCCCCAGATTAACATACAAAGATCTATGCTTATACGCATGCGGAACATACCAAATGAAGCAAGCACCTGATTTTTACGCCGACCATATGAATGGCAGCGGAGATTTTGAATTTCAAGTTGCAGTACCATCATATGATATTGATTTTCAAAAATACCAGATTGATGTGGAACCAATTAACGCCATTTTACTTAAAACGAAACTGCATTCACGACACTCAAATAGTTTAAAATACTTTGTATATGTACTAATTGATAAAAGTAAAACCGCACTGGAAGCCATACTTGCACATTCATGTGGATGCAAAGTCGGAGCACGCGTTGTTGGGTGCTGTTCCCATGTAGCCATGATTATATGGTACTTTGGATTTGCTCGATTTCATGCTTCTATTCATCTGCCTGCTGAGTTCCTTACTACGTATTTCGAAGACGGTTCGATATCCGAAGAAGAAGACGACGGAATGTAAAATATACGTAAGTTCCGTTATCATAACATTCATACTTTGAACGTATTTTTGTCAACTTTCCCATCGTTTCTCGGGAAAGTGATAAGGACATTTTTTGTTCCTTGGGAGACACTCTAAAAGATCCTGCATGAATTTTTCATTTCCGGTCGATGCCAAAAATGGGCATTTCTTAACACCCTCCTTTTCCTCAACGTTCATCAAGTATGCTTTCCGCCTAAGGACAATAATAAAAAATGTAATTGTGAAGAGCTGTCCTTTGTAACATGCGCATGGTGTGAGAAGCGACTATGTTTCCCCTGCTTTTATGATAATTACCACCCATCTGTTTGTAATGTGTATAAAAAATAAACAAATTGTTAAATTCTAAAATACTTCATATTTTCCTCTTTAACCTTCCCAAACATCCAAAATAAAATATATAAAAATAAATATAACAAAAAATTAATTTCACGCATGAGGATTCGGTCTTGCTAATGAAAGTAGAATATGTAACCAAGCACGGAGATTCCAACCCTAGCCATCATATCCGAAATACGTTTCGCTATCCACCAGGCTACGCTGCTGCTTCGCAAATAGTGCTAACTTTATGACCTCTCTTAAGCTAGCAGGACCAAAGCAGCAGAATCACATCGGACCTAGTGGAATATTTAGTACTTATTTTGTACTAATTTGTACCACAAATAATAATTTTGTACTTCCTGCCGTTTTCAAAAAAATCGTGGCGCTGCTAGCTTAATATTAAGCTGGCAGGACCAAAAGTTAAAATTAATAAAAATGAATAAATCAAAGTGGATACATTTATTGCTGGCAAACTATTGTAGACAAATAAAGTGAAAAAATTAAAGAAAACCGCAGAGTTTTTATGGCTATATGTCTTTACCTGCCACGAAAAAAGGTTTCGTTGTTGGAAACTAATAAATGACGGGTGAAAGTCTTATCACTAAATAAAAAATAAGAAAAGTACACAATACGTACAGAGAAAAATTTATAACAGGCCTAAACAATATTAAAAAAAAGAATATTCGCGCTAATCTGTAACCGAGGTTCGTCGGAACTCTTGCGTTGTTCAACTGTTACGTTGTTCAACCGTTCCTTTTGGTACAGATCGACGGAGGTCGATCTTTAGTCTTCATCAGAATTCATTCCGAGTAGCAGCATGGTTCCAATACGTGATAGACCGGGAAAAGTTAATCCCGAAAAAATAAAGGAAACAATATTGAAATATAAGGATATCATAAAAAACGATACTAATATTGTTTCAAAAACAAATGATGTGTGGCGTGTTATCGCGCAAAATCTTGAACATAAAGTGACTACAAACAATTTATATGTATTCACCATGTGCAATCGGTACAATGTTAAGGATATTAATTTTAATAAAGTGTGCAATGAAGGAAATGTTTCCATAAATGAAAGTGTAACGAGTGACACAAATTGGAAAGAAAGTTTTATAAATATTTCATCGGATAAAGACCCTATGGAGAATTTTTATGTCATTTCCATTTTGAGAGAGGAATTTATAAACCTCTTGAAGGAAAAAGTATATAAACGTAGAATAATTAATAGAGGAAAGACATATTATCGCTTGCGCAAAGTTTTATAACCTGGCAATTGGCAAGTCTTAATAACAAATAAATTTTGGGAGCCCACGCACATAAAATGTTGATTTCAATTTACCAGGTACAAAATTTTTTTTGATAGTACACATTAGTACAAATTCAGCACTAAATGTATCCGCTTTGATTTATTCATTTTCATTAATTTTAACTTTTGATCCAGCCAGCATAACGTTAAACTCGCATCGTTCCGATTTCCTTGACAACGGTAAGAGGTACAAAATTTCTTTTGGTGGTACAAATTAGTACAAAATAAGTACTAAATATTCCACTAGGTCCGATGTGATTCTGCTGCTTTGGTCCAGCTATCTTAAGAGAGGTAACTATATGATAGTTATGGCACACGTCGATTATTTAAAAATCGTTATTTTTGTCAAATAAAAAATATGGATCCTTAAAATTGCATCTAGAGCGTCTTGTGTAAAATTTCAGCTCGATCGAAGAACTTTGATATTTAACTCAAAATTTTTCGAAAACGGGGGCTTATCTACACTTTTGGCAAAATATGGGTATAATTATTTTTCGAGTAGAACATCTGTGCCAAATTTTAAAAAAATCGGTGTTCCATGGGACGTGGTCTCCCCTTGACAGTGCCATATGAATCCTGCTGTATGTGTTGTCAGATTTTTTTGTAATTTTATTTATACGTTCCCAAGCCTCCTACGTGTCTTTACTTACAATTTTATTTTGAAAACTTAAACCGAAAGCCGCGTCCCCGCAGGGTCGGCTTTTACCGTTCGGCACCCTAAGAACTTTTCGGCGAAGCCAAACAATCTAAAGACCTGCACCGTCTCGGATAGCATGGTTCGAAAAGCCGAATGGCATACAGAGAAGTCGATCGGTACGTTGTCGGTAAACATCAAAAGAGGAGATCGTGCCAAGACCGGCAGTCAACTTTTGTTGCTGCTGTATTCCCAGAAAACAAACAAAAAAAATGCAGCGTACCTCAGTCAAACAGTCTGCCGAGTCTTCAACGTACAGAGTCTCATGTCAATATCGTTCCAAAACCATCATCGAGATACAAAGATACAATTTCATTACAAAACTTAAGGTGATCTTAATTTTTTATTGAATAAAAAGGTTTTTGCCAACATTTTCGTTTACCATTTGTTGTCACACGATTACCGAGTAACTTTTATTGACAAATTTTTACGTCAGTTTATCGAGAGTGCTTGAAAAAATCGAATTAATCACTGGAGTACATAGAATATAGGGTAAAAGAATAATGAAAACTTAACGCTTATTTGAATATTTTAATTAAATTTATTTTTCAAATCAATATGTGTATATGTATTATATATTATGCCTACATCTGACTCAGAGTGAGTATTCGTATCTGATTCAAGACGCGATTCATCTATTATTATACAGGGTGAGACATATGAACTAGTCCCCACGATTTTCCAGCCCCTTTCGATGATCTGACAAAAAAATATTTCCTATTGAAGTTAATC